CGCGCCGGGAAGTTGCCGCGGCTGAAGTTGCAGGCTCTGAGTCTCCGGGCGGCGGGGCTCCGCAGCCTTCCCGTAAGCCCTAGGAGCAGCCCGAGAAGCCGGCGCCACCCTGCAGCCTGCCGAGCGCCCCGGGGCTCCTTTGGAGAGCGGGATCGCGTCTCGGAAACCGCCTGCGCCTTCGCTGCGGTGGCGAGAGACCTGGGCGAGGCCCCCGGTGCAGGGCAGAGGCTCCATCGGAGCAGAGGCTCCGGGAAGGGCAGACGCTCCAGCAGGACAGAGCCTCCCTGAGGGTCCGGCGCCCCGGGGGCTCCCCGCCGGCTGCAGATCCGGACGCCAGGAATACTCGGCCCTGACTCCCACCGTGGCCTCCGGCTGGGCCATGTCCAGAGGCCCAAGCTCCGCGGTCGTGCCGCCAGCCCTGGGGTCCCGCAGACCCGCGCCCCGGAGCCTCAGCTGCATCTCAGAACTGGACGGCGCTCGGGAGCCTCGACCCTGCAGACCCCCGGCCTGCGACCCGGGGCTGCGGCCCATCATGCAGCGACGCGCGCGCTCGCTGCCCAGCTCCCCAGAGCGCCGGTCCAAGGCTGCGGGCGCGGCGGGCTCCGCGTGCCGGCCGGGTTGCCAGCGGCAGCATCGCGTGCGCTTCGCCGACGCTCTGGGCCTGGAGCTGGCGGAGGTGAAGGTGTTCAACGCCGGGGAGGACCCGTCAGTGCCGCTGCACGTGCTGTCGCGCCTCGCCGTGGACTCGGACCTGTGCTGCAGCAGCCAGGAGCTGGAGTTCACGCTGCAGTGCCTGGTGCCCGACTTCGCGCCACCCGTCGAGGCCCCGGGCTTCGCCGAGCGCCTGGCGCAGCAGCTCGTGTGCTTGGAGCGCGTCACCTGCTCGGACCTGGGCATCAGCGGCACGGTGCGCGTGCGCAACGTGGCCTTTGAGAAGCAGGTGGCGGTGCGCTACACCTTCTCCGGCTGGCGCACCGCGCACGAGGCGGTGGCGCGATGGCGAGGCCCGGCGGGCGCCCAGGGCGCCGAGGACGTCTTCGCCTTCGGCTTTCCGGTGCCGCCCTTCCTGCTGGAGCTGGGCTCCCGCGTGCACTTCGCCGTGCGCTACCGCGTAGCGGGAGCGGAGTACTGGGACAACAACCACGGCCAGGATTACAGCCTCACCTGCCGCAGCCACGCGCTGCACATGCCACGTGGGGAGTGCGAAGAGAGCTGGATCCACTTCATCTGAGCCGCGGAACCTGGAGGCTGGGTGTGGGCCCAGACCTGCGGTCACTACCCTCTGGGTGACACTAGCCTCTGGGTGTCACTAGCCTCTGGGTGGCCGAGGTCTCCCACTCCACCCTTCCTTCCCAGTTGTCTGACCTCATTTCTTGCTGCAAAGCCCCTGGGTAGTGGCCTCTCCTGTCTTTTAGTGAATTGTCTTTATCACCTGGTGTAAAAAGTAGCCTCTGGCGGCCAGAGGCACAGGATGCTGTGTAGTGTGCATTGGGGGAGGGTGTTGGGGTGGGGATGCAGATGCATGGGAATGTGGGCCTCTCCCAGGAGGACCCCGGCCAGTGTTTTGCAAAGACCTGCCTCCTCATACGAAGGCTTGCATGTCTTGACTGTGTCTCTAAAAGTAGCTGTTATTTATTATTCTGAAGTTGGGGCTGTCCACCCATAGTGGACACCTTCTCAGGAATACTCTAGATTTAATAAGCTTAAAAAAGTCCTGTTGTCTGTTTCTATCCACTGTAAACAAATACACTGTTGTGATCTGCGTTATGATCCTCAGGGCATTTCTGCCCTGGGATGGTGAAAACCAGAGACCATGTTTGCTTGCCAATGCCTGCAGCCTTCTAACAGTGGGGCCTATTAATAGCCAAGAAACTTAGGGCTCATCTGTCATCACACAACCATTTCTGGACTTCGAGGCTGTCCTGGTTAGGCAGTGTTTCCTACATCATCTAGAGGTGGAGGAAAAAGCTTCAGTCGGTCCAACTAGTTCAAGCAGGCCTTTCTCTGTGGTCACTGCCTGGTCTGCATCTGTCTTCTAGGGGTCAGATAACATAACTGCACATTATCAGGCCATATTCTGTTTAGGTGTTAAACTACCTGAGAGTTTTACACGCTCTTGCCTTAAGTCATTTCCATTTTCAGGGGGTTATAGGGTTTCAGGCAGCACTGCCCTTCCCAATTAGCCCTTTCATGCTGAAAGTGACTTTGTTTCTTCCTAAATATCAGAAGATTCCAGCATTTAAGTTTTGGAAGTCCAGCACCCAAGTAGAACTCGGTGGTGTTTTCAGTATTAGCCAGAGTACTGAGGAACAATCACAGATTTTATATTTGCAAGGAGTTTTCAATTGTAGTTATGTGTCACATTTCAGCAGCAACCCATCAACTTTACTTTGTGCCTTCTTCAGACAGGAACATTCTTAACATTTTTATAAGCTCCTTACCCAGTTTAAACATGTTAAATACTGGTTAAAACAAAACAACAAAAACCTCCACGTAAGTAGTCCAGACCGCTCACTGTCCCTTTCAGAGTGCCCCTGCTACTTGAAACACTCCTGGACGGGCTGGCAAGCCCTTTAGGGTGATGTGCAGTGGTCTCTCTGACAGCTGGTGCTAGAATGAAGACAGGAAAAGCCAACCGAGGGGGACCAGACGTCCAAGATGTGACCTTTGCTTTTGAAACAGAAGCCAGCGTTGATGGACTTGGTGACAGGGGTCACCAGTGGCTTATGCTTGTTGACATTTGTTAAGTTAGCATGGAAAAGATGCCATTTACCTTTTAACCAATTCGTTTTTGCTAATGGAAACTTCTGCCTTTTAAAATTCCAAGAACAGTGTTTGACTTTTCTTGGTGCCTTTTGACTAAGAACATGGAGTTTTGACATAAAATACTGTGATCAAATCACATAGCCTTTGGCTCTGAGGACTGCGCACTACATTGACTTCGAGAGCGAGAGAAGCCTAGTTGTGTTTCTGGCTGCGTAACAAACTGTCTAATTAGGTCAGCAAGCCCAGGAGGGCCTTGGCTGCTCTGTCCTTGGCCCCTGTCCACAGTGTAAGACAACTGTCCAGACTTTTCTTTTTGGTACAAGTCAGAGCTGCCCAAAGCATTGTTATTTAAAGAAAGGCATGTAGAGAATTTTTATAATCTATGGGAAAGCCACTTACTTGCCAAAAGGTTCTAGTTACAGCAAAGTAAATGTTATGTCCTCAAAATTAAGAGAACCTCAAGGTGCCTTTTTTAAAGCCTACCAACAACATTTTAAAATCTAAAGCTATTCTAGTTGATTAGTAAACAAGCTGTAAGATGGTTCAGAGTGAACTTTCCAACTCTCAGACATATTGCTTAGATGCTAAAATTGTGTGGATCCTGTGATTGTTGGGTTGTCCTCCCAAATGCATTGTACTGTCTGTTACTTAAAATGATTTTACCCAAGCCTAAATATTAAAGTACACAAGCAAAAGTGTCTCCGCATTTTGTCAAGCTGGTGTATGTTTTTCTTGTAGTCTAATTACAGACCACAAAGTTTTGAAACTACTTGATTTTAAGAAAAAATTTCGTTTTTATTTTTGCGTAAGTGTACTGGCTGCCAGTGTGTTAGTGCACCCATGTTGGACAGTGCCCACAGAGGTCAGAAGAGGCTGTTGGATCCCCTGGAACTAGAGTTATGGACAGTTGTTAGCCACCATGTGGGTGCTGGGAATCAAACCCAGGTCCTCTGCAAGAGCAGCCAGTGCTCATAACCGCTGAGCCATCTCTCCAGCCCCAGAACTTCTTGATGTTTAAATCATTTTGCATGAGGTTTCACCCTTCTCAAACACTAGTAAGTACTGGAGTATCTCACAGGACAGATCATGAATGCCTATGAAAAAGGCCCTAAGGATTTGGGTGGATGTGATCACTGTGTTCTTACAGTACCTATTGACTTCGGTGATTAGAACAATGTGGGTCTGTTCCCCACCACCCCGACTCACATCACATTGTGATTCTCAGCCCAAGTATATACCTCTGCGAGGAAGGAAACCAACATTCCTGAGGCCCATCTTGTTTGCCTGGCCAAGGGGCTAGATGTTTGTTGTATGTGGTGTGCTGTCTGGTTACCCACCCCCCTTTTCTTAGCTGAAAAAAAGAAACTTAGAGAGCTTTACCTACTCACCCTCAGCTCGTTGGCCTCAAATTCAGCATTCAGCCTTGGGCACAGGGTATGGCAAACAGTCTTTCTGTGAAGGGCTTGTTAAATTTACTGGAAAAGGGTTGGAGTGTAGCTTGAATACCATACAAAGGCCCGTGGTTCAACCCTGGCACTGCAGGGAAAATACATCATTAGAAGGCAAATCTTGTAAATGATAAGATTTTCCTTCAAGACTCACCACAGTCTCAAACCTTTAATAAGGGAAGAAAACATATCACTCATTTTAATCTCAAAGTCAAAAGGAAGATTAACTGATATGCTTTCTTCTTCCATGTAGTTTACTGATCCTAAATCCCTTGGCTTCATGAACACAGGAAATAAGGCTTTAGCATTTTTGTTTCTAGTAAAAAGGGGCTGGGCGAAAAGTGACTACTTTGCATCATGGAGGATGATAAATCTAGTATGAGAAAGCTGTGTGCAAAATATGGAAATGTGTTGGGTCATGAGGTTGAAGCACTCTGTGCTTACATTTCATATCACAAACTCTTAGTACTTATGTGTATAGACAACTTAAAAGCATTGAAAATAGAATATTCCCCCAAAGGCTATCAGTTGTATATGTAATTTGCAAAAAAAAAAAAAAAAGTAGAAATTAGGATCTCCCTGGGTCTGTAATCCCAGCCACTCCGGAGACAGGGAGTATCTCAAGTTCAAGGTCTGCCAAGCATAAGGCCCTGAGATGAGAGATGGGCTCAAAATTAAGTTTGAGGCAGGAAGTTGCCAGAACGTCTATACATCGAGGTGAACAAAGATTTAAGGCACCCAAGAGCTGACAGTCTATGATTCGAACTGCTTCGGTCCTCAGGTTGGTTTTGTTTTCACTGTTTATTTTTCCAAGTGCTCTTCAAAGCACATTTCAATCAGTATCATATGCTGGCCATCTGCTGCAGAAAGCCGTGCTTGCAGCATCATTGCCATCATCTTCATCAGGCCAGCTGTGACTATTTGTAAGACACAATTAAGAAGGCAGGCCTGGGGTTGGTCATGGAGCCCTCCTGAGATTCTAGCCACACCCTCCTGCATACCCCTGCCAGGTCTATGTAATTCTCCCCCAAGTGCACATGGCCTCATGGTCATAAGCAGTGCTGGGGTATATAGAGGGTGGAGGTTGACTGAAGGGGGACTCTTGTCTATGCCGCTAGGGGTGTCCTCATCTCATGCTGGGATGAAGCTATTTGGTGACGTGGCTGTTTTGAGGCCACCCACGCTTTGTAAGTAAGCCGGCTAAACCCAGTTGTCCAGGTGAGACGAGTAGAATTGTTCCTTTGGTCCGTGATTGGTGTCCTATCTGGGGTGAGTAGATCATAGAACCCTGGGTTTCCTGCACACTATGTAAAGCACTAGTACCAAGCCATGCCTCGTCCAGTATTTGTAAACAACTATTGCTTTTTACATAGGAAATTGAGATGTTACTAAAATACAATTTTAAACTTGATTTGGCAGCATCTATATCAAGATTTTGGTGTTGAGACAGGGTCTCTCTTGTAGCCCCAGCTGGCCTGGAACTCACTAGAGCAGGCTGGCCTCCAACTCACAGAGATGCACTTCTGTCTCCTGAGCCCCGAGGTTACAGACCTGCACCACACCTGGCCATACCAGTTTCCACTTCTTTCCAGACAGGAAGCCAGCAAGGTCGCGGGCTGACCCAAAGGTTGAGTAATACACTGTTTTCTGAAATTTAAAGCAGACCGCGTCACGCATGCGCACACAACTGGTAAAAAATCTCAAATTTAAGAGGTTAGAGAAAACCGAGGACCACAGCACGGCCGTCGTGGTCTCAGAAGCCTGGGTGCGGGTCGGAAGCCCGGCCATTGTCCTCAAGCCTGTCGCCTATCCGCCACCTTTGCACACCAGGCATTGCAGTCTCCATCCTGCCCTGGGGCGGCCGGGGCTGCGTCCGGGCTGCGGAGCAGAGCGTCCCCTGCTGGTGGACGCGCAGAACTGCAGCGCAGGCGAGTGAAGCGGAAGGGCAGGCGGGCAGGTCCGGGCAGGCGGGCAGGGCCGGGCAGGCGGGCAGGTCCGGGCAGGCGGGCAGGGCCGGGCAGGCGGGCAGGTCCGGGCAGGCGGGCAGGGCCGGGCAGGCGGGCAGGTCCGGGCAGGCGGGCAGGGCCGGGCAGGCGGGCAGGTCCGGGCAGGCGGGCAGGGCCGGGCAGGCGGGCAGGTCCGGGCAGGCGGGCAGGGCCGGGCAGGCGGGCAGGTCCGGGCAGGCGGGCAGGGCCGGGCAGGCGGGCAGGTCCGGGCAGGCGGGCAGGGCCGGGCAGGCGGGCAGGTCCGGGCAGGCGGGCAGGGCCGGGCAGGCGGGCAGGTCCGGGCAGGTAGCACGCATGCGTACTCACCCTCGCTCCGATAGAGGGCGGGGCCTGCCCGGACGGCGCTGATTGGACGGTGCTTCCCGCCTCCTGGGAAGGCTTGATAGCGCGGGCGGCTGAGGCGCGGACACTCGACGTCCTGGAGCGGTGAGTGCGGTGGCTGCGGCTCTGACTGTAAGCGCGGAGGCCTGGGCCGAAGGTCAGGTGGGGCGGCGGGGCGGCGGG